TATATATAATATATATTATCTATATCAATAATATATATAATTATATATAATTATAATTAGATGCATTTAGTGGCATCCACTGTCTAAACCAGATGCTTCTAGAAACTATAAACATAAAGAAATTATTTTAAGTATAGAACATAGTTCAGGTCTTTTGTTCATAAGATCACTATGATTTGTATTCGACTTGACTACACTTAACCACTGCTAAGTGAGACTAGTGCTATTATATTTTGGAGGAGTATTTTTCTACTTTGTACATGACTCTGTCAGTTTACTGTCCTGAGGTAATTTGGATGTGCTGTGATGCTGAACCTTCTGCCACGGGAGTATCAAATGCCAAAATGGTTTCCCAATATGGACAGTGTTTGGTGGAGCTTCCAGTTGTAAAACATATTTGGAAGCAGGAGTGGCATCTACTTCTTAAGCCACATGCCTCTGGAAACTCTATAAACTTGTAAATGCAATGATAGCTATAGAAAGCTATTAGGTCTTTTGTTCCTAGAGTCCCTATGAGTCATACTTAATAGCAATCAAAAACAACAACATATTACTCAATATGTAATATACAATGTGTAAATGTTTTAAAAATTAGTGCTACAACTAAGACTCATGTTCCCACCAACTAGTCTATAAGCTGATTCACTAACAAGTGTGAATATATATTCCTCTTTGAAGATGAAACGTGTCCAGAGATAAAGCAGCAATTGGGAGTATTGCTATCAGAGGCCATTCATCTAATCAAAAGTCTGGAAACTGATCGAGCAGAAGCCGAAGAAGCTTTAAGACGACAAAAATTGAGGAAGAAAAGGATTAACATGAAAATTGATTTCTGGTCAATCTGGAGACTTGAAGAACTACCTTTAGCTGTGCAGAAAGGTAATAATATGAATCCTTCACATTTGCTTTGTAATTAGTCTGAGAAACATGGATAAACAACTGTAGCTCTGATTATGATACCACTTCCGTTTAGGTTGTTGTTGTTGTTCAGTGCCATTGAGTTGGCCATCATTCATAGTGACCCTATGAATAGCAGATCTGTACCTTGTCCTATCCGATACCATCCTCACAATCTCTGATATGCTGCAGCCCATTTTTACAGGCACTGCATCAATCCACCTTGCTGAGGGTCTTTTCCTCTTTCTCTGGTCCTCTGTCTTTCCCTGCATAATGTCATCCTTTTCCCAAGGACTGGTCTCTTTTGACAACATGCCCACAGTATATAACATGACATTTGTCCCCTGAGACTTTTATCAATACATTTCATTAGACAAATCTTCTGCAAAAAGTGCTAAATCATAAGGATGTAACTTTGAGGATGAAATGTGATATTTTAAATCAGACAGATACATGTAAAATTCTTTTGTCTCAGCCAATTCTTTTTGGTGCACTGACTGCTTAGGTCCCTGCCATCTCTTTTTGATGCATCCTGGATCGTTCAATATTCAGTCCATTACATCTTTAATTACTGTAACTCTAAGCTGGAAGTTGTTCTTCAGTTCCTTCAACTTAAGAAATGCTGAGCAAGTCCATCCCTTTTGATTCTCTGACTCCAACTCTTTAACCATTTTATTATAACGCTTTGCTGTATTTTCTCAAGCTGCCCTTTAAGATCTTCTGTTAAGCTCGCTAATTTCTTCATTTCTTCCCTTTGCTTTCTCTTCTCGATGATCTAGTACAATATTTAGAGTCTCTTCTGACATCTACCGTGGTCTTTTCTTCCTCCTCTCTGTAATGACCTTTCACATTCTACATGGATGACATTCTTTTTCTCATTATTTTTTATTTAAATTTTGTATTAGTAATTTTAATGAACATTTGCAGAGATTTTGGATTTCCATTCATTCATTGGGATGACATTCTTGATGTCCTCCCACAGCTCTTCTGGGCTTCCTTCATTAGTGTCCAAAGCCTCAAATATTTTCTAGATTTGGGGTTTTGGTTTTTGTTTTTTTTTTTATTCTGGTGGGATAGACTCAAGGTCAAGTGAAAATCTTATGTAATAGTTTTATTTTGTAAAATTTGAGATCACTATGTGGAAGAATCTGCCTGAAGGCAATAGATATACAGAGTGCAGTTATATACACACTAACGTAACAAACAGGATTTCTACTTAAACAATTACCTTTAATAATGTATTAGAATCATTTGCACATTGAATAAAGAAAACAGCATATTTTACAACACAGTATTAAAACAAGTATCCTAGCTTTCATAAGACTCATGTTGCTACTAGTTACCATCAAGTGTGACTCATAGCAACCCTATGAATGACAAACGGATCTGAACCCTGTTCTGTTCTGTGCCATCTTCATCATCTTTGGCATACTAGAGCCCATTGTTGCAGTCTCTGTGTCAATCAATCTGTTGAGGGTCTTCCTATCTTTTGCTGACCCTCCACCTTTGTGAAGAATAGCCTCTTATAGAAATATGCCCAAAATATGTGATAGTAAGCTTTGTCCTTATTGCCTCCAAGAACCATTCTAGCTGCATTTTCTGTTTTCTAGTTTCTGTTTCTTCTTTGGCAATCCAATCAGTACTCTTCACCAGCTCCACAACTCAAAGGCAGCGATTCTCCTTTTGTAATACCTATTCATTATCCAGCTCTTAGATGCATAGGAAGTGATTGAGAAGACCATGGCCTGAATCAGGTGTGACTTCTTCCTCAAAGTGACACTGTTGCTCCGCAGTAATTTGGAGATGCTTTTGGCTGGAGATTTCTCAAATGAAATATGACTTTGATCTCCTGACTGTTGCCACCAAATGGATTGACTCTGGAGCCAACTAAAATAGATTTGTTGGCAGTTTCAATCTTTTATCTATCATGATATTGCTTACCAGTCAAGTGGTAAGAATTTTTACTTTCTTGAGGCTGAAGTGTAATCTGTATTGAAGGTTGTTGTCCTTAATCTTCTTCAACAGTTCAAGTCCTACTCCCTTTTGGCAAGCAAGGTTATAAGACGCATTGTTGTTGTTGTTATGTGCCATCCAGTCACTTGCGACTCATAGCAATCCTATGTATGAGGGCCCTGACCCCTACTCTATCCTGCGTCAACGTCACTGTGCCATTACCCCAATCACTGAATTAATCCATCTCATTGAGGGTCTTCCTCTCTTACACTATTCCTCCACCCTCCCAAACATGATGTCCCTCTCCAGGGATTGGTCCCTTCTTGCAACATACCCAAAGTATGTCAGATGAAGCTTCAAAAGACTTACCTAGAAGGAGCAGCCTGGTATTCACCGTCTCCAGAACAAACCTGTTTGTTCTCCTAGCAGTCCATGGTATATTCTACACTCTTCTCCAGCACTACAGTTCAAAGGCATCAACTCTCTTTCTATCATCCCTAGTCATTGTCCAGCTCTCTGATGCATAGCATGCAATTGTGAAGATTGTGGCCTGGATCATAGCTCTTCAGTACTCTGGAGAGGTCCCTGACAGCTGACTTTCCCCATGCAGTTTGTCTCTTGATTTCCTGCTTGCTGGTACCAAGAGTATTGATTGTGGAGCCAAGTGAACTAAAGCTGTTAACAATCTTAACCTCTTCACTATCCATTATGATGCTGCCAATTGTCCCAGTGGTGAGAATCTTTGTTTTCTTGATGCTGAGCTTCAATTCATGTTTGAAGGCTGCAGACATTGACCTTCTGCAGCAAATGCTTCAGGTCCTCCTCAGTTACAGTAAGCAGGGTGGTGTCATCTTCAAAACACAGGTTGTTGATGAATCTTCTTCCAATCCTGATGCCACATTCCTTCTCATACAGCCCAGCCTCCCAGATAATCTGTTCTCCAAACAGATTGAAAAGGTATGGAGACAGAATATATCCCTGGTGGGGACATTTCCCAATTTTGAACCATGCAGTGTTTCCTTGCTTTTTTCTGATGACTGGCTCCTGGTTCTAGTACAGGTTTTGCATAAGCACAAAATAGATAAGTTTATTTATAAAATGGACCTGTTTTATATTTAGTTATCAAATATTTCCTAATAGATGTTGATGTTTAAAATCTGATAATAATCTGCTTTTATTATTCTGTTTCTAGAACATGAAAGCCACTTCAGAGAAATTATAGAATTACAAAAGAATCTTGCAGCTAAAGTTCATCAGCTAGAACAGTTAAAGGAACATAAAAGAAAATTAGAAGAAGCAAATGCAAAAGTCCAAGCAGACATAGACTACATGATGGAACAAGACCCTCAGGTTGAGTTGAAACGGGACCAGGAACGTGAAGCTCTGAAAAACTGCTATGTAAAGAAATCCGAGGTAAATGAGTAAATGAATGGACATGTATCTTGAAAAAAAAAAAAAAAAGAAATATCTGCAAAAGTATTTCAACCATAAGAAATTAATATACCTTTAAAACTTTCTTTTCTTGATATTTGACAAGCTGCTTATTTCCAGAGAAATTAGGAAATTATGCATGGCTGTTGCAGACCCAGGCTAAAATAAACTTATAATTATTAATAATAAGACAGACAGCAGGAATGAGATAGAACAGAGAGCATAAAATAGGGGGCCAGCAGTTCTAGACTGAAGGGCTTCAAGCCACGCCTCTCTGTGTATTTATTGATAATCAGGGGAAACAAATAATAAAAAGAATTCCTTGCAAATGAAGCCAAATTTTTCTCTATTGTCAGCCTAATGCTTTAGCTCAGGAAGTATTTCACACGTTAATAACACTTCCTCTGTAGGGGGCCCTAACTGTCTGCAGGGAACAAACAGCTCCTTTTCTGTGATCTGTCACAAGAGTAATCCTAACTTATACATTTGTAATTCCTTCCATTCCTGAATAAGGGTTTTCATATATTTGGTATGAAGTTTGGTTCCCCATACATGGTTTATTGAATTGCTTCTTCTGAATATGAAATTTGAAGAACAAATAAGGAAGATTGAAGAATGCCTTTGAATTGTTGTGTTGACAAGAGTGTTGATATTGAATATTCCATGGACTGCCAAAAGAACAAACACGTCTGTCTTGGAGGAAGTACAACTTAGGTGATTTTAGAGGCAAAGACGGTGAAATTTCATTTGACACTTTCAGACATGTTGTCAGGAAGAACTGAAACTTGTTTCCAAGATATCGTGCTTAGAAAGGTGAACAGTCATGAGAAAGAGAGGAAAATCCCTCCCCCAACGGACTGACGCACTGACTGTAATAAGGTGTATGAGCACGTGGGAGATTATGGCTGTTCTTAGCTTTGCCAGGGATCCTCGTTGACGAGACCATATACAGCAACAAGAATCCAGACTGGCTCAAGAAGCAAATGTGAATCTGAACAGACCTATAGAAAGTGATCAAATTACTTTAAAATATTCTTAGAGAGTTGTATTTCTAACATAAGGTGGCTTGTTCCAATAAACTAGTGGTCCTTTGGGAAAAATATATGCAGTCTTATCCCCTGTAATTTACAGCCTCTCAAAACCTACTGGAAGTTCAGTTATCAATCAAGGCTGGCTCAGCAGCAATGAGTTTGAATTGCTTCTATTATGAATTAAATTTTGTCCTCCAAAAAGATGTTAAAAATGTGTTGCATAGTCTAACTTTTATTCCTGTGGAGTTCTGGTTGCCTCCCCCCGCAGGGTGTAAATTATTTTTTTTTATTTTTTTTTATATTGTTTTGCTTACAACATTTGTATACATTGTTTCACACTATTCATTCACATTGTGTCTTATGCAATCATTCCCATTCATTATGGGGTGGTTTTTTTGGTTTTTTTGCTTTGGGGTTTTGGGGTTTGTTTTTTTTTTACAGTTTTATAACTTTGACAATCAGCTATTAGTTTTCATCCATATTGACTGTAGATTTTTTAAAGTGGTGATAGGTACATAGGTAACCAGTGTATACAACTTGTTGGGGGAATCTTCATGCTCTTTACATTTTCTGGACAACCGTACATAGATGCGGTATGGGATATTCCTTATTCCTTTGTCCCGGAAAGCGTTGTTAAGCTTAATGTTGACACAAACATCTGGTGTTCCTATCTCCTTCATGGCAAATTTCTGGATCTCCGTTATTGCCCAAGGAGCATACTTCTTAAATCCCTCTCCATGGATGTGCTTGTGAATGTTGATGGTGGACTCTCTGGTCACCACTTTGTTGATTGCAGAACAGCCTTTCTTCTTCTCACCACCCTTCTTTGTGGAGGCTATAGCACCGGGACAAGGCAGGAAAACTCATTGTGTTTTATAAAGTTAATTACTATTGGAGTATGTCTACCATTACCTATCTTTTCAGGTCCCCATCATATCTTTTCCATTTCCTTTGCCCCTACGCTCTAGCAACCAAAGCTGTGCAGCCTTGTAATTTAATCCCTTCCCATCTTCCCCTGTTCCCATTCCTTCCCTCCTTGGATCCTTCTCTTTTTACAATAATGGTTTTATGCAGTATATGTTCTTATGAGATTGAGTTTGTTCACTCAGCATAATGCTCTCCAGTCTCTCACAAGCTGTGTACTATTTTTCTAAAATTATTGCTCCTGAGTGCTGCAAATGCTTTTCAGTCTCTCCCAACCTATATAATCTTTTTTGAAATTATTGTTCCTGAGTGCTGCATAGTATTTCATTCTATGAATGTACAACAGTTTCTCATCAATTCGATTGTGGTTGGACATTTGGGTTGTTTCCATGTTCTTGCGATGGTGAACATTGGTATACAAATGTCCATTTTTGTTTCAGTTTTAA